ATTAGCAAAGAAGTATAAAAACTTCTTGCGAACATCTTTTTTGTGTGTGGTCAGAGGATCAGTGGAAAGAGTTTTTATAATATAATACAATTTTTTTTTTTTTTTTAACCTGCAATCATTTTATAATATAATACAATTATTTTTATAAAAATTAATAAAAATAATATATATTTAAAAAAAAAAAAATTTTTTTTATAAAAAATATTATATAAAGTTTATTTATTAATTAATTAATTAATCAATTGATTGATTAATCAATATAATTATTAATCAAATAATTAATTAAAATAATTAATATACTTTTTTTTTTTATAACTCATAATCATATCACATGGCTTGATCTTTATTGAAAAGTTATATAACTATTTACAATATTACAGATTTTTCATATAATGACTAACTTATCATTTTACTGAAATACTTTAAATCAAGTCTAGGAGGCAATATTTCACTCTATTAGAGGATTGGTATATAACCTTTATATACTAGGTTTATTATCAACAGTTTATTACTGTAAATTATTCATAAACTATGAATTGCTAAGTTAAGGAAAAAGGGAAAAAAAGAAATTAAGAAAGGAGAACAATTCAAGGTCCTATCAAAAAAGTTTAAAAAGAAAGCAATTCTTTTTTCAAAAAGGATCTACCTAATTGAGATAGTCTTCTTGATTTTCTTAAGCCTCAGAAGAAATTTTCTTTATCACTACTTATGATATTAAACAAATCAATCCAATTAATCTTTTATTTAAGTAAGTATTGAATTGTGATATTTCAAGAAAAATATTTAGATCTCAGCTTTTGTTCATTAAGCTTTGTCACTACTTGAAAAACTTAGATAAGAGATATGAGTTTACAATTTACATTACCTATCACTTGATCTTTTGATGTTATAGAAGTCTTTATTAAGGGACTTAAGCTTTTAAGAACAAATATTTTTAAAACTTTTTTTCCAATTACTGATAATATTATCAGAACACATGAATATGATTAATAGAAGTTTGTTTACATTTCAAAAACTAACATGTTTCATGTTAACCAATTATCTTTAATGAAAACTTGTGTTACCAAAATTCAGGATTAAACTGAGATAGGCAAAATTCTCTAAAAGATCATGAAAATAAAATCTTTAAGAGGACACAAATAGTTAAAAAGGAAAAAAATAAACCTTTTTACTATAGAAAATCTTTATATATCACTCACTTCAATGATTAGAAAGATTTTTAGATACTTTACAATTAGTTTTTCTTTCTTTTGTCATTGGTATCAAAGGTATTATTTAACTTTTCTTGATTATTAGAAGTCAAGTTTTTGAGTTAAAAAGTTTATAAACAAAAGGAAAAATGTAAAAATGACTTTTGAAGTTATATTTCAAATTGTTTTAATAAAAGTATTAAGATTTTATTAACAAAAACTTCTTGTGAACATCTTTTTTATATGTAATCAGAGAATTAGCAAAAAAAGCTTTTTTGATATATTTTTAATTTAAAATAATTAGTATAATATAATTATTAATGTTTTAATTATTATATTATAATTTTTAATCAATTAATTAAAATTTTTTTTAAAAACTTAAATTATAAAATATCAAAAAGTTTTTATATAATAAATATAATAAATATATTTTTTACCAATTCAGGATGGGACCTGTGGATCAATAGCGCAGTGGGTATGCTCCCAGGTCACCATTTGCAAGTTACTGATTCAATCTCACTTCAGAACAGTATTTGCATTATAGGTTACGTAGTACAAGAATGCATGCTTATCAGTCACATGCAAGCTTGAACACAAAATAACCTATAGAAATCCACTGTCTGACCACGGTGTCATAAAACAGGTCATACAGGTTCCGGTCAGTTTTAGCACTGGAAAAACAAGCCATAACATCCCGCTGCTTGGAATATGCACAGACATCAAGAACGCCAAGAAAGACAATGATAAGACTCAGGATCCTATTGGCCTCATACGGAATCTACTTCTTCTTAAAAACTCTAGTTTCATGGGAGGTCTGGAAGACTTCAGTCGTATGAACCAGTCACAAAATATAAAGGGTCGGACACATACTGGGAGATCTTTGATCACTATCACCAACGACTACCAGAAATTGGACCTTGCAGGTGGCCAACAAAAAGTGATAAAATTAAATAGTTATGATGGGAAAATGTAGGGACAGACCCTAAGAGAAGAAATTCAAAAACAATCATCAAGGTAACCATTCCATTGGAAGGAGCAATCCATTACGAAGTAATCAAGAGAAACCCCTGCAGACATATTTGAAGAGTGGCTAAAAATGGTCACTTGAAGATTACGGTCGTCAATCTGACTCACCAATGGCTGCCGAGAAACTTGATGGGACCACATGAAAACTGAAGAATATCACTGGATGACCAACTTTCTGAGGACTAAGCATGGTTAAAAGATATCAAATTATGGAACACAACCTTTATAAGGTATACAAGCCTCCCTAGAATTGAATAATCTCAATAGCTCCCTGAATATAAATAGAAGTCACCTGGTGGATCCTAGGAACATCAGGAGTATCCAGGCATAGCAGGGTAGCTGACAGGATGGTATCCATATCGAGTAAAATCTAAGGGTGTTTGAATGGCTTAGGATAGTATAGATTAGCTATAAGAATTGCTCTTGTAAAAATAACTCTGTACGACTTCTTCATAACCGATCAATAAAGCTCAGTCAGTATGACTAAAAAAAAAAAAAAAAAAACAATTCAGGATGCGATCTGATCATAATTATATAGTATATAATGCTGGCTACATAGTGTTGGCCGATTTGTTATAATTGTGGTCGGGATTGTCTTCGTTAATTCCTATTTTATTTTAAGTTTATATTTTTTTTAAATTTTGGGCTACTTTGATGTACTGCAACTTTAAATAATTTAAAAATAGATGCATAATTTATTTACATTCAATTTCTAAAATTATATAAATTAAAATAAATCCAAAAGAAGAAAGTACGGCAATTTATAAGCAAAAAATTTTTTCGCAAATCTGTAGGCAATAAATTATCTAACTAAAGAAAAAGAAGCGCTTAGAGAATAGGTGAAACTATTTTAACGAATGGGTTAGTATGTGAAATAAATTTGGCATATGTCAAATCAAAAAATGCATTATTTATGGATTTAATACACGTTCATATTAACCTTCTTTTTTTTTTAAAAAAAAAAAAAAAAAGGAACCTTTCTCCATGGAAATATTACTACGTTGTACGGGTTGATCACATGAAGCTTCATTAATGCATCAAATCTTGATTAAGGTAAATCATATTATCCAATCTACAAAATAGGTCGCAACCTTTGAGCAAATTCATATATTGTGTATCATTATTTCGTCATAAATTAGTGAAAAACCGTCAAATACTCGATTCTTGTGATTATAAATTGATCAATTTTAATTCGAGATTTACCACTATTTTCAAATAATTGAACCTTTATACCATTCTTTTGACCTTGCATTTCAGCAAGAACTGGAAAGAAACAGTTCTAATTTTTATTGCAATTGTTTATCTGATAGTTTAATATTTTGTGCAAAGGGCCTGAGGTTTAATCCTCGCCGAAAGGCCAGCTAGCTTAGAAAGCGTCTTATATCGTCTTATTCCTGGGTGTTTCTCGATCATTTTTTTAATAAGCTCCATTCACTTAAATATACGAATCGCAAATATGATTAAAATCATGGTAGAAAAAACTGGTGAGTGAAAATTATGATTGCCATAATTTAGTATACCTGTACTTAAAGAAAAAAAAATTCTTTTTTCTTTTAAAAAAGACAAGAAACAACCAGAAGTAGTGTCAACCGGTGGCTTGAAACAGAATAAAGGGTCTACAGATACTAAACAGCAAGCTTCTAATATTACTCAGTCTAAAGAAGCAAAATCGGCTGGCAATATTTTGCAGGCAACACTTCAAAAAATGTTCAACCTTGAACTCCCAGAGAAAGCAAGATCCACAAAAAATTCAAAAGACTCGTCTGCTTCGTGCTCCGAATCTGAAGACGAACGTTTAGATCGACCCGACAATAAACAAGTATCTGAGAATCGTCGTCCGGAAATTTGTAATAATCGAACTGCACAAAATCGACAACCAAATTCAAATGCTCAACCCCGTTTTCAAAGAAGTCACAGTGGTTCGCATGTTCATTATTTGCAACCCTGTAGGAAACTTAATCGCATGCATAATATTTTAAAAGGAGTTGTTGAAAATAAATCACAACAAGAGAGTACCCACACTGCAAGCGAGAAACCACCACTAAAACATTCGTACTCGGAAGTTTCATTATCAGAAAAATATGGAAAACCACAAGAGATTATCGGAAGGGGTATGTATATAATTTATTTAATTTATTTCACTTTGTTTTTCCCTTATTTACCGTACTACTTTGAACGAATTTCATTCAATAAGGAGCATTTGGTGTTGTCCGTATCGCTCACAAAACGGAACCCAAAGTACCAGGTGAAAAGCTCTTTGCAGTCAAGGTTTCTATCTCAATTCCCTCAAGCATTTTATTTTATGGGCATATAGCCTTATCATGTTAGATATATGTATTTATTTATTTGTTTGTTTATTTAAAAAAAAGGAATTCAAGAGACGCAGTAACGAACCTCCCAAAAAATATATCAAACGTCTAACGTCGGAATTCTGTATTTCTTCTTCTCTTCATCATATTAACATAATTGACACGCTCGACCTGCTCCAAGACACCCAGGGAAATTACTGTGAAGTGATGGAATATTGTGCCGGTGGCGACCTTTATTCTTTAATCGCCTCACATGAAAGACTGGAGCAGGAAGAGGCAGATTGCTTCTTTGGGCAATTGATTAACGGTGTCAAATACCTACATGATAATGGTGTTGCGCATCGGTATGCCCGTTGAATGGCTTTTTATTGTCATTAAAATGCCAGTATGCATAACCATCATTGTTTATTTAAGTGACCTTAAACCCGAAAATCTTCTTCTTACCTTAAATGGGTGTCTCAAGATTACTGACTTCGGAAATGGAGAATGTTTTCGCATGGCATGGGAGACACAAGCTCGTATGTCGCGTGGAATTTGTGGTAGTGAACCATACATTGCACCAGAAGAGTTTATCCAGGATTGGTTTGATCCAAGACTCGTCGATATATGGGCTTGTGGCATCATATATATGGGAATGATTACTGGTAGACATCTTTGGCGTATCGCTAAAGAGAATGAAGATAATAATTTTAGGGTCTACCTAGAGGCAAGGGCTCATGGTGAATTTCTATCCCCATTCCAAAAACTATCAAATGTAGGTGACCTTCATCAAATCAAATTCTAATACTTTGCACTGCGATTTTATGATTGACGGAAATTTTATTTTGTAAAGGATCGTCGCCGTATGATGTCAAAAATAATAGAACCCAATCCTAAGCGTCGTATTACAACAGAACAGATAATCGAAGATTCTTGGTTTTCTGGAATTGATATTTGTTACAGGCCGTTAAATTCAAATCACAGTTTACCCGTAAATGCGACTTGTGGATCAAATTGTAATGTAAATCAGAAGACTATGAGAGAAGCTATTATTGAAAACGTGGTGTAAAAAGAAGTGACATAAGGGATTCTTTCTTTCTTTTTTTTTTTTTTTTTTTTTGATATTTACTAGATGTCTTGAGATTGAGTGTCCTGAAGCAAACCAATTGAACGTTGGTGCACCATCCTATGCAGGAATTTAGCATGAAATTATCTTCTTATTGTTAAGCTTAAAAATAAATTTGTTAGTTTAGATAATAGGCTAGGTTTCTGCATAATGATGATAGTACTAAACTAATGGGTAGCATTTACTTATAGTGTAGTTTAAACGTTTCGGGATTCTATGATTCTATTCGATCTAATTTTCAGCTATCTATGACGTACCCTATAGTCACGTGTATATAACCATTTTTATATTTAATTCATGAAATAGTAGAGATTGTGTAATATATTATCTACTTTACGATTCGAACGCTGGGCATCCGATTAGAGATAGGTTTCATTTGTATATAATAACTATAATATGCACATATATTTATACTGTATAAAATTTGATTTTATAACAACGATTACGTATCACTTTTGTGGCTCGTGCATTGATGCACCATTAAAACTTTATATATAATATTAATATTTTATTATTGTAAGTCTTAATAAAAAAAAAATCATTCAAGTATAAATTTATTTGTGCGGTATATAGTATATACTATATTTAAATTGTTTAATCTATGCACCACAGTTGACAGGTCAATTATCTTATCAAAGTTATTGAATAATAAAAAATTATATACAATATAAAAAAAATTAAAAGAAAAGAATATTGTTTTGCTTTTTTAATGACTTGATTTCTTAAGATATTTTTTTTGATAAAAGTTTTATATTGAAATGTCTTTTCTTCTTTTTAATTATTTATTTAAAAGACTTATTTATCTTAATTTAATGTTTATCAATATTATCTTTTTAATTATTTATTTGAAAGACTTATTTAGCTTAATTTAATGTTTATCAATATTATCTTTTTAATATTATTTATTTATTTATTATATTTTTTATATTACAACTAGGAAGTTTTTTTTTTTAAAAAAAAAAGACTGGCTTATTCCATACCTTTTCTGATATTTTATTGAAAAAAATTTATATTTTATAAACAATCAAGATAAATATTTTTCTATGCTATTTGAAAATTTATAGATTATTAAGAGGAAATAGTATAAAGTATTATTACTATATTTATATAACTTAATCTAAGTTTAATCCAACTAGGATAAAATAGTATATAACAATATAATGCAAATAATCTTTTTTAAAAACAAAGCAAGAGTTGAATTAGATGTACTTAATTATATATTATTAATATCTTCTAACATTAAATTCAAATATTATCTAAAATATATCAATATATTTATTAATTAATTTGTTACCACTTATTAGAAAGATTAATATATCAGGACTTATTTAAATGTCCAATACTAATTAATACTGAAGATAAAAAAACTCTTTCCACTGATCCTCTGACTACATACAAAAAAAGATGTTCGCAAGAAGTTTTATACTTCTTTGCTAATAAAGTCTTTACACTTTCATTAAAACAACTTGAAGCTTGTCTTCATGTATCTCCTTTACCCTCCCTTACTTGTTTATAAACTCCTTTGAATAAAAACTTGAGTCTCTAGTGGCCTGAAAAGACTCAAGTATGCACTTCCTCTACTAAGGGCAAGAAGGTTCTAGGAAATAAAAGGACTGACAAGTGGAATGTCACCTTACAGAGCTAGAAGCAACAACAATAGAGGTTCTGTTGGTAGGGGAAGGCTTATTATCCACCTTCTCACATACTGTTTTATATCCTCTTAAAGTGCCTACTATTTTTCACAGTTTTCTTGGGGGATTTTGCCTACCTCAGTTTGACCCTGAATTTTTGATAGCACAATGTCACCTGGCATCTGATTGGTTGACACAAAACATGTTATTAACAGAATGTAAACAAGCTCCTATTGGTCACTACATGTGTTCCGATAATGTCATTGATGACAGAAAAAGTTGATTAGTACTTCACATTCGCTCCACTCCTTCAATTGGGTTAACCTACAAATCAAGTACCATGAAGTCAATAAGATACGGCAACAAGTCCTCAGGTGGTGAAAAAGCTGCTATTTGTTCAAGCTGAGATCTTTCTCTCCTACCATTTCAGTCAGGCAAAGTTCAAAACCAAGGTCTTCCTTTTATCCCAGTTAGGCAATAAGACCAAATGGTCTTTAATTCATGCTAAGTTTCAATCCTTTGGTTACAGTTGAGAATACATTTTCCCAGAAGTTGTTGAAGGATATCACAATCAATAAAGATCCCCACCACTCTTGTAAACCTCTCACCATTACAAGGCAAAAGGATTATTGGGGAATCTGATCTTTTGGTTAATGGAAGATGTATACCAGTAAAATTTCTTTAATTAGGTGTGACTGCTGGAAGGTATCATACTAAAACAATATGACCTAGTCCCTACTAGGTCATATAAGAACCTGAAGTCTATTATAAGTCATCTGTATACTGCAGGTGGATAAAAAATTACTGCCTAAAGAAGGTTGAGACAAAGTGTGTCCTGGAAGTAAAGGCTTTCACTAGGCGATAAGTCTCCTTAGATGGTATACAAAAAGGAAATCTAGATCAAGAATGGATAAGTTCCTCAAATGGTCAGGAAAAAAAAGAATATCCCAATCAGGTCTTTTTTATTGAGAAGAGTTCTTAAGAAGCAGGTCTTTGGAGGAAACTGAAAATATTTTTTTTTCAATTTTTACTCTTTCACTTTCTTGTTGTTTGTTTAGACATTTTTAGATATCCTCCCTCTCCTTTTTTCAACCCATTCTTTTGTAGTTTCCTGTATTCCAGTAGCTTGATATAACATATGGCAGTGACAACCTGCTGGCAATAATACAGTAAACTAGGAGGGTTTTCATTCAAAGATACTGCGGAGCAAAATATTGTTCTCAAGGCTGAACTTACAGACTTTTATGCTTAAGACGAGTTAGTTAGATTAGAATAATAGTTTAACTGTAGTATGTATTATGCTACTCAAATAAAAATATACTTGTGTTTTCAATTGATTAATAAACTAACAATTTAGCTTGGTTACGGGTACTCAAAAAAAACCCCATTTAATACTAAAGATCACTTGTACTAATCAAAGACTAGTTAATATTAAAAAAAATTGAATAAAAAAAACAAAAAATAAAAAATAAAATAAAGAAAAAAATAGTTAAAATAATTTATAAAAAATAAATAAAAATAAAATTAAAAATAAACTAAAATTAAAAAAAAAAACTTTTACTTAATGTTAAAACATTTATTTTATAAATAATTTAATTTTTAATAATTTCTAATTTTTTAAAAAATTTCTTTTTTTTTTAATAATTTTAATGAAAAATTAGAAAAGTTAACTTTATATATAAAAAAATATTATTATATACAAAATCATTAGCTTTCAAACAAACTTTTTAATACTTACAATCAATTAATAACAAATATCAAATATATATAAAGAAAATCTATTTATTCTATATAGTTTCTTTCTTTATTGAGGAAAAAAAAATAAGATTAATTATTCATAGTAAGTTTTTTGATATTCAACCTCAATTTTACAAGTTCATAATCAGATTAGTACAAAATAATACCTTTATTGATATCAAAAGAAATTCTGCAAACAATAACTCAAGATTATAAATCAGTTTAAGCTCAAGATTTATAATACTTAGAAGAATGTTTAAACTTTTTTACTTAATAATAAAGAGTTTTAAAATAATATAACAACTGATTATATCTTAAACACATTAAGTAAAAATTAATACATTTGTACTTTTACAACAACAAGCTTATATAATAAACAAAAACTTCAAACTAATATGTTTTTGTTTACAATTTCACATATTATATTTATTTTTGGATTTGATATATATATATAAACTTTAGATCAAACCATCTACTAAAACAATTAATGACTTTTTTCACATCATATAATCTAAACATATCAATAAAAAATATAGATTAATACAAGTTATAAAAAAAAAGGAAGTATCTATTATAAATATAATAATCTAACTTTCAAATAAATTTGATTAACAAAAGAAATTTTGAGCAATACAAGCTATTTTAAATATAGTTGCTACTCTAGAAACTATGTAGAATCTTGCCTCTAAATTAAATAGATACTTAATTTTGAACAGTGTTATTACTTAAATCCTAAATATTGATCAAGTTACCTTTATTAAGATCACAATTTTTAAATAACATATTTTTTATCTATGAATCCAAAGATAAGAAAAAAATGATCTTTTAATCTATATCTAGAAAACAAATATTTTAATATAATTGAACAAGAGAAACAACCACAACAAGTCTCATATAAAATATTAATAGTTCAACTTACAATGAATAACAATCTTTATGATATAAATCTGAAAAATAATATAAAAGTTCAATCAATTATAACAATAAAAATTTTCAATAATACTGAAATAGAAATGGATAATAAGAAATTATAAAATCAAATAGAGATAGAGGAGATTACAGAAAAGATTAAAGAAGACAATATTGCAAAACAATTTACCTATAAAACAAGAAATAAATCATTATCATCTAATATTAATTCCTTTCATATTAAAGAAAATGATAAATATAAAATAGGAATTCTTACATTCAGACTTTCAAGAGAATCGAAAATGAAAAAATAAAATATTTTTAAAATATACTAAGCTTGTCAAAAAATTTTCAACTTTTTAGAGGGACTTTCTTAATAGAAATACTTGGACTATATTATGTTGTGAGAAAGAAAAGAATATATTGTAATATTTAGAAAAAATCAATAAAAAAGAAGAAAAAAAAATTTACTGTAATTTTTCTATATATAAAAAAGTGAATAAACTTTAAAAATCCAGTATACAAAAAGATTCTTTAGCAAAGAATAAAAGAAGGCAAGTCCTCATCAATAGTTATTTTAATTAATATCAATTAAAATCAAACATGTCAAGAAATTAAAATTGCTTTTTTGAAATATAAAAATATAATAAATATCCATATTTATAA